CTCACCGGACCAGGCTCTCACATCACCAAGCGCGAAGCGCCGTGAGGTATTCGGTGAGTCGCATGAAGGGTGCGCTGCATTGTTCGGCATCTCGTGCTTACTTCCCTGCGTACGGATGACAGCTGGTTATGACGTAATTTATTTTCTGGTGCTTTCACTTCCAGAGACAGTTGTAAACATTCTGAAACTTCCTCGAGGGTGCTTGACCATTTTAACACAACGTGGTGCGATCATCCCCCTTGCGCGGAGTGAGGGTTCTCGACCCCGCACAACATGATCTACTCGACCACCATTCATGGTTACCGCAAAGAAAAACCACAGGCAAAAAACAAACGGTAACCTGGTTGCCGAGTTCACGAAGTGAATCGGCTTGTTTTACAACGTCGTTGCCAAGCGACGAAAACCCAATCCCGATGGCGAGCACCGGGGGCGAAGGAGAGGGGGAGGGGGGGGGCGCACTCTTATGTTTTGCATGCCTTAGCGGTTAGACCATTGACCACGCGTCCTCGAGAGGACGGAGCATTGTTCCCACAGGACCGATCACCGATGGCCAATCGTTCCTTCCTACTTTGCCAAAGGTGGCTCAAAAATGTCTTCCCTAGTATGTCTATCCTAACGATATCCCTTCCCGCCTTTTCAAACCACTTCCTACTCCCCAGTACAGCTACCGTCCTCTCCTCTCTATTCCATGCCTCAAACATCTCCCTGTACGTCCCTTGTATTTTTCCCAGCTCAGTCATGTACACTTCCCTATCCTCTTCGTACCACGGACATTCCGCGACTACATTAACACGGTCTTCGCATTCGAAGCCGCAATCACATTTCAACTTGTCGTCTTCGTCGTCTACCGTCCTATGTCTTTGTCGACGTTCTCGAAGGCCTATGTCCCCGGTCCTGAATTTGACCTTATGCTTGTCCCTGCATCCATTGGTCCATGTAGGTAATCCTTGAACCCTATTCCTTCTTTCAACATTCCTTACACTTCGAGACCCTCCTTATCCTCGGTTTCTTTCCTTAGATTCTGTTCTTCTCTCTCGTCACAAGCAACAGATATCTTCTCCTTCAACCCCTGTAGACCCTCCGTTTCCAGCGTTTCATCTTCGTCGATGTCTAACCCCTTCCATACGTCCTCTACAACCTTGACCCATTCCGTGGGTTGTCTACCCCTCTTTTAGTTTGTCCACTTCGCCTCCCATACTATTCTCGGCAACCTCTCCTCTCCCATCCCGCACATGCGATACTGCCATGTCAGCTTCCTTGCGTCTCTTCCCGACCGTAGGGATTGGATCCCCAATTCTGCCCTTACGGCTGCATTACTTGTGCGCTTGGAGCATCCTAGGATGATTTTCGCTGCTTTCATCTGCGCCGCCTCGAGTTCTTTCACTACCTTCTTATTTCCTTCCCATACTTCTCCGGCGTACTCTAGCGGCGGTACGATTACGCTCTTCAAAACCGCCAATTTGATGCGTGTATCGAGGTGCCGGTTTGCGAGTATTGGGTGCAGCTTCCCTGCTCGTGCTTTGCCCTTTTCCGCGTCCTTGGACATGTGTGCATGCCACGAGCAGTCGTTTGCGATCTCTACTCCGAGGTATGTGTACTGGTCCACTACTGCAATCTCCTCGATCCCCCACTTCCATCTATGTTCTACTGGTTCCTCCCTGACCTCGTTGCACACCATGACGGCACTCTTCTTAACGTTGGCAAACAATCTCCATTTATCAGTAAACTTCTTCGCCGCGTCAATTTGTAGTTGCAGTCCCTCAGGGGTGTCCAACATACCAACAAAATCGTCCGCAAACATCATTCCTGACACCGAAGTTTCCGTGTCCCCTACTTTTACTCCCTTCTGGACTGCCTCTACGACTTCCAACATATCGTTGATGAACACCTGGAACAATGTTGGTGACAGCGTGCAACCTTGTGGGACCCCCTGCTCAATGTCGAAGAACTTAGACAGTTCTCCGTCTAGCATGACCGCGCTTTTCGTACACTCTGTCATCTTCTTCAGCACTCTCCACATTTTCCCCTTGATCCCGTACTTGGACAATTGTTTCCACAGCCCATTTCTCCATACGTATCGTATGCCTTTTTCACGTCCAGGAAGAAGCAGTACATCGGCTTTCCCGCCCGCTTTCTACCTTGGATGATTCTCCCTACCGTGAATGCGCGGTCTACGCACCCCCTCTTCTGCCGGAAACCTGCCTGGCCCTCACTAATGCTACGTTCCTTCTCCAATACTCCCACTATCCTATCGTTCAGCAGCTTACAAAACACTTTTCCTACTGTGTTCAACAGTGTGATACCTCTGTAGTTTCCTGGGTCAGTCTTGTCTCCTTTCCTAAACAAGTTCACACAGGAGAGGGGGAGGGAGATAATTACGTTGGGTATCTCCCGGCGGCCTTTAGAATTGCATCAAGAACAGCGCCAGCGCATTTTGACGTTTTACAGTTCCTGGTGTCGTGCTGATGGAGACAATCTCTCCCTCCCTCCCTCCCTCCCCTCTCTCTTTCTCTTTCGTTCTCTCTCCCTCTCTCCCTCTCTCTCCCTCTCTCTTGCGTGTTACTTGCGTGTTACTTGCGTCTCGTCCGTGCAGGGGGAGACAGCATCGAGCGTGCGATGGAGGGAGCGTTGGCGGCCATGTTCAACACCATCACGGACATCGCCAGGGTCGACATCAACCCGGCCCTCACAAGAGAGATGGAGATCGAAGGCGGGTTATGGCCACGCTTCCTTGCGTGTAGGGTTGCACTTTTCGTCCTCGTCTTGCCTGCGAGAGAAAGAACGCACCAGAGGAGATATTGACCCCTCCCCTTATCTTCGGTCCAATGCCCAAAGGAGCTGCGCTGTTGTTTGTCGCTTTTCGGGGTCCGCCAGGCAACGTTTCGCGTTTCCGATCTTTGTGAGCCGCGGGTGAGTGGCTTACACCGGGACCTCGACCTTGTGCAGAGTCCCCCACCTTGTACAGGGACCACAATAATACCTTATACAGGGACCGCCACCTTATGCAGGGACCACTACAGTACCTTATACAGGGACCAGTAGCTTGTACAGGGACCGCCAATGTAGGGACCCCTATAATACGTTATACAGGCACCACCACCGCATTAATAGTCGTTTTGTTTGTCGTGGGTCAGCCGGTATGCGAAGCCTGTGGAAAAATGGGTGAACGGTCTTGATGGCCTGCATGGTGCCTGTCTCGTGGTGGCCGTGCTGGGATGTTGTTTGTCCTGGCATACGCCAGGACATTTGTTCTTTCGTCACCTTGCGGCGTGGAGATATATGATGGGGCTGTGGCACCACACGCAGCAATCTCCTTCACCGCCTCAGTTGCCGGAGAAAACTGCAAACTGCGTCGTCGCGGTTTCGGCGGCGGCCGCGTCATAGGTCTTCTGACAGCCTTCACCCGAATGGATCACTTCATAGTTTTTGGTTCCCCCTACAATAGCGGCTGGTGACCTCCTGTGCCGTTTGCGACCCCCCCCCTGCACCACTACGGTGCATTTCGGCCTCTACGGACGCGCCTTTGTGGGCGGGGCCCCGTTCACGCCACCCCATGTCATGATGCCAAGTTTCTGCTGTTCAATCTCCTGGACAAATTCCACTTCCTCCTCCACTCCTC